TTTGGTCAATTTATTAGTCAGAGTTCTTAGTTGTAATATTTAGAAGTAAGTCTATCTAAGCCCAAAATGAAACAATATAGTAAAATGATATATATGCCAGCTGACTAAAGGATAGTCATTATCGTAGAAGTTGAATATGTTTTGGAGATCTGTGCAGTCCAGTGAGTTACCAGTACTTTAATAGGTGTTAAAATTTCCTAAGAAGGTATATATGGTTTTAAATTCACCACCAATATTTAAAGACTTTTAATCATTTTTAAAGGTGGAAATGGGAAATCCTTGGAGGTATTTGGTGTATTTATGACCTTGACTATGGTGGGACTTGCACCAGAGTACTATATTCTTGTTTCTAAACCCATGAGATTATATACATTAAATAATTATATTATTTATATCTATTCATACTTCAAAAAGGGTGTTTTTAAAAGGAGGGTGCAACATTTTGGGAGCTGGCTCAGTGGATAAAATACTGGCATTGTGAGAGCTGTTCATATTCTGAGATCCCTTGTAAAAGCCAGGCAGGAATGGCAGCCGCCTATACCATTAACACTTAGACAATGACAGGGATCCCTGGGCAAGCTAGATAATTAGATTAGTCAAGACTGGGTTCAGTGACGATTCTGCCCCAATCCAAAGAAGAACTCAACTTCAAGCCCCTATGGGCAATCACAATATGATTGTACATCCACACACTCATGTGCACCCCATGCATAACACACACACACACACACACACACACACACACACTGGTAAGAAAGGATACAGAACATGGGATATGTCCCAGAATAAATGGGCAATGGAGGCAGCAGAGGTTTACTCAATGCAACTCATCATTCCTTTGCAGGTTACTGTGTTCTCCTCTGCCTATGTTCTGTTTACAATATTTCCAAGTTCATTGGACTCAGTCAACTCAGGCTAAGGCCAACTAGAACCATCACTTTCTAAATGGCACTATTTTCTTCCTCCTGTGCTGCAATAGTAAAGCCCTAATATCTGCTTGAACCATTTCTATTTTTAAGGAGGTTGGTCAGAGGGCGTAGGCACTGCCAAATCGGCAGTTCCTCCCATCGTAGAGGTTCCTATTCATCATTCACGCAGTAGTTTTAGCTTTCTGTCAGTCTTAATTATTATCCTGGTTGATTGTTTTATTATGCATTATAAAATGACAACATATATCTACAGTGGCAGTTTTCTATGTAGTAGTTCAATTTTTCTAGAGGGATCAATTTAGATTACTCTGCGATATAATTTGTACGTGAACAACGAGATAAAGACTCATTTCTTTTCTCTCTTATATTTTGTTATAACAATGTATTGGTGCCCTGGAAACTTATAGGAAAATAGGCAAAAAGGAGTTAATGTGATGCCTCTGTAATGAAGTGAGTCTTAATGTGTCTCCTAGCTCTGTCAACACCAAAGAGCGTTAATTAATTTTAAATGATAGAAATGCCTTTTTAAGGGTCTACAACAATGCTGGAAGGAAGAATCTGTCTATCTCAATGAGTGACGGCCAATCTTCATTCTGTTTGACTGATTTTTCTGTCTTGTTGTCTTCATTTGTTCTTCTGGGGAGAACTTTGAGAGTGGAGTGGTTTCATTTGTGTTAGGATGCTTCTATTTGCTTCCTGATTGATTACTGGTTATGTGACAGTCTTATATTTCCCCTATTTGCTGATTGAAAATATGTAGCTTTATATTGGGGAGAATAAGTTTACATTTCTAGGACCCTCATTATGGGATGCCTTGCATTCTTTTGTCAATTACATAAAGCTAATTGTTGAGCTCTTTATATTACAGTATTTTAAAATTCTTCCAGAATCAGCTGACAAAACTGTTATTGATAGTTATATCATTTATTGCTATGTTTTTATTTTTGTGAAAAAACATCTTGACCAACAGCTATTTAAGAAGGATGTGGTTTATTTTAACTTTCAGTTCCAGAAGGACAGACTCAAAAACAGCAGGGAAGGCAGTAGCAAGAATCTGGCTGATCACATCTTTATGTACAAGAGACAGAGAAGAGAGAGAGAGAGAGAGGAGGAGGAGGAGGAAGTGGAGGAGGAGGAGGAGAGAGAGAGAGAGAGAGAGAGAGAGAGAGAGAGAGAGAGAGACAGAGAAGAGAGAAAGAAAGAGAGGAGGAGGAGGAGGAGGAGGAGGAGGAGAGAGAGAGAGAGAGAGAGAGAGAGAGAGAGAGAGAGAGAGAGAAGTAGGGCAAGGCTATACACTGTCAAAGCCCACCCTTAGTGATATATTTCTTCCAGTAAGGTTCCACTATGTAATGATGGTTCCAGAATATCACCAAACAGCACTATCCATCAAAGACCAAGTATTTAAATATATGAACCTTTGTGGACAATTCTTATTTAAACTACTACATATCCATCAAGAAAAAGTAGCTGCCTTGATTCTGTCTACAGTAATAATATCAATAACCTTGTTATAGGATATAATCATCATGAAAGTTGTAACTGGCTGGTTTTGTGTGTCAACTTGACACGAGCTAGAGTTATCAGAGGAAGGAGCCTCAGCTGAGGAAATGCCTGAATAAGATCCAGCTATAAGGCATTTTTATCAATTAGTGATCAATGGGGGAGGTCCCAGACCATTGTGAGTCATGCTATCCCTGGGCTGTTGGTACCTGATTCTATAAGAAAGCAGGCTGAACAAGTCAGGGAAAGAAAGCAGCATCCCTCCATCATCATCAGCTCCTGCCTCTAGGATCTTGCTCTGTTTGAGTTCCTGTCTAACTTCCTTTAGTGGTGAACAGTAATGTTGAAGTGTAAACTGAATAAACCCTTTCCTCCCCAACTTGCCTTATGGTCATGGTGTTTTTTTTTTTTTTTTTTTTTACAGCAATAGAAACCTTAATTAAGACAAATTAGTCCTGGGAGTGGGGTATTGCTGTGACAGACCTGACCATATTTTTGTGAAGGATTTTGGAACTTTGGGCTAGAGAGTCCATTGTAGAAAACAGGTAGCAATTCATTTTGCATTTTCAAAATTAATCACTTTCCTTCTGTGTTAAATATTTCATAATGAAATTTAAAATAAAAACCACAAATTAGAATGAAATAATTAGAGCACCTGGAAAGAGAATATTACTTAGAATATGCAGAAACACGTACAAATAATTATAAAAATAAGTAAACCAAGGGAATTCCTATAATGCGTCAGTGAATGCACTTCTTAGGAAGACTCAGAGCTTCACTAGTAATCAAGAAAATTAAACTGAAATCAGGACCAGGTACTAATATAGACATAACACTCATAATAATGAGGTCAAGAAACAGACTTGGTTATATCACAATGTGAAGAGACAAGCAAAATTAATTGAGGAAAAATAGAATTAATTATTGTATAACACCTCAAAGAACAAGAAATATACCATAAACTTTAATTGAACAAATATCTGCTATTCATTGTATCCTTACTATTCTTACACCAGAGACCTACTCTATTTGTAAGTGGATGTTGAACTGTCAATATTAACAGATGAGCTGCTCCTAGGATCAAATGAATGAGAGGTATGTACATACTCACGAAGGATTGAATGATTAACTATAGAAGTGCCAAAGAGTGTTGTTATCAACTAGTAAAATGAACTATGTACAGGAAAAATAAAACGTTTTGCAAGGAAAAAAAAGAAAACAACAATAGGTTCATAATACAGAGATCAATAGATTGTGGGGATCCTAACCCCAATTGATATATCTACAGCACAATGTCTACACATAAGACTTAGGGAACATCATGGAAGAGAGAGTAAAAAGGTTTTAACAACCAGAGGATCAGGAAGTCTTCCATGAGATTGTATTTCCTAGACTTGATAGAGAGGCTATACCCATGATACCCCAACAACATGCTGTCTAAACAAGACCTCAATAATGATAATATCATTAGATATGCTAACATGAAAGGGGGAAATGTCATGGGGTCTCACATCTAGACAAAATACAGCAGGCCACTTAATAGTTTTTAAAGAGGGAGAATTATATTCTCCAGGGGTTGATCTCCTCTAATTTATTATACAATACAAAGTTATCGACCCTGAAGTTATATACACACAAGTAACACTAAGTTGACACAATACATTGTAATTTGATTCATTTATATATTTATATGTAACAATAATAAAAGAAGCCATCAATTTGAGAGGGACTGAGAGGACATGGGAGAGGTTGGAAATAGGAAGACAGGGAATGAAGGAATGATGTAATTATATTTTAATTAAGAAATTTTATAATAACAAAAAGATGCTGTCAAATATATAGGGACTTATCTTTGGTGGCATCAATTTGCACTCCTTTATGTGTGTGTTCAGGCGAAAGATTGATATCAGGTGTCTTCCTCCATCACTTCCCACTTTACTTTTTGGGACAGGATCTTGACTGGCCAGAAAGGCCCAGGGATCCTCTTGTCTCTGCTTCCCTGGTACTGCAATTACAGGTGTCTAATTTTGCCTTACTGTTCACTTTAGTGCAAGGGATAGAACTCAGGCCCTCATGTTTGTGAAGCAAGCCCTTTACCAACTGAGCCATCTCCACAGAACTCTGAGTTCATTGGGGATGTGTGTATATCACAGAATAGATGGCAAAGAAGAGGTGTGTGTGTGTGTGTGTGTGTGTGTGTGTGTGTGTGTGTGTGACAGGTAAGATCTGAGATAGCAAATCTTCCTGAATCATAGATACTACTGAAGGTACAGTTCTCTGATTGGCAGGAAGAAATGGGGAAATGAAAAGAATGAAATGAGCTTCAAGTTTAAAAATTACATTTAGTTTCAGTTTGGGGTTAGAATGGAGTTTGGAAAGTGCATAGAGGCTCGGAAGTCTCTAAGTTTTTTATGAGTAACAGTAAAGTTGCTTCTAGCTGCAGAAGACTTCTTGACTTCAATGAAACTTGTTCTATGGACTCCAAGTTTCCTGTGCTGGCCAGTGGCTAGGAAGCCCTAAACAATACCACGTAGTAGCTGGAACAAGAGTTACAGCCAGAGAGCATTAATTTGCATCAAGGTGAGTAGCCTTCTTAGAAAGATTGAACTCAAGATTTCATGTAGCGCTATAAACTCATATCTGTGAGTGTCATAAAATTACAAGCAATGCTGTCTATGGAGCTAAGGGATTTACTGGGAAGGGGAGGAGAGAGGAAGGAGGGATGGGAGGGAGGTGATGGAATATGGTGGAAATGCAAAACACACTTGTATGAAAAATGTTCTATGAAACCTAGTACTATGATTAATATATACCAATAAAATACTGGGTGTGGCTGTACTGACACTTCATACGAAAGCCTGTGGTACATGTAGATAATGCAGGGCAGGAGCACTACAGAAAACAGCTGTCACTGCTTGAATGTCAGGGCTCTGTAAGCCTGTGATTTCAGTGACGGGCATCGTTTTGGTAAAATGATGCATTTAAATGCTTTTCTGTGTCCATTCCCAGAAATATTGTTTCACCGTAATACAAATCTTAAGAAAATTTGTCATGACTTAAAAGTGTCTGAGCTATAATATTTAGTCTTTCCCCCTTTTAAGAAAGGTTGAATGTGGTGATTTGTGTCTCATATCTAAAGAAATTTCATACTATGAAAAGGTTAGCAAACTTTTTCTGATGAAGGCTGTAGTTCAAAAATAGCCACAGAACAACTATACAGATGAGAAGGGCTGTGATCCAGCTAACTTTTAGAGAAACCAAACAGTGGACTGTACTCGCCTCGTGGCCCACAGTGTATAACTCTGTCTCAGAAGATCACTGCTGAATGCAAACTAAGGATTCTGACTTGAATGGTGTGGGGTGTTAGTCACTCAGTGACAGTTTAATTATAGGAGCAGGATTACAGCTACTGAGATTCTAAGAGAGCCATGGTGCAGATGATACCACAATGTCCAAACTGATGAAGACTCTCTAGAAGATGTTCACTGGGGCTTAATTAGAAACTAAGACCATAGTGTTTCTGTGGAATCTGACTGGAGGCGTAAGGCCTGGAGCAGGTATCCTAGCATGCAGGCTTCCTCTACTTTTGAGAACAAGAACTGAAACAAGATCTCATACCTGCAATCTCTCCAATAGAAGTCATGAGTTTTCAGAGTAGCATTGCTCTCCTCTGCTTTCCCGTGGTTTGAGTATGGGAGCTATCACAGGGGTGTCCCAGGGTGAGTTTGGGAAGGAAAGGTGCCATTGGAGTAATTAAGAAAGATGAGAATTCTCCCAATCTTAAGAAGCAGTAGAAACACTTAAGAATCACAATGTATCACAGATTTCAGATGCAATGAAATAAAAGAAATGGAGAGGGGCTTGCCTGTGTAGCTTGAAAGAATACATCTGAAGATGCTCACGAGAACTATACAAGAAAGCTCTGAGGATAGACCCCTGTTCATGTGCATTGCTGTGATGCTTTAAACAGTGAAAAAAAATCCAGGAATATGTTGATTAATGGCTTTATCCAGGACAAAGCTCCTTTGCGCAGACAGCTCTATTAGAAAAAAACTTCTCAAGCCAAAACCCCTCCATAAATCATGCAAAAAATGACTGCCAACCTCACATAAATAGTTCAGCTGCAATCTCTATTTGTCTTTAGTTAGATGTTGATAAATAGGGCTTGTCCTCAGCAAAGTGGTAACAGCCAAACTTTTATCTTCAATTGCAAGTCCACTGGTACCTTTGTAAATGAATCTGACCTCTAGGTGCTCAGATTTCTAAACGTGAGTGCATCTGTGCTCTCATGTCTGATGAGTTGAAATTAGATGACTTGGGAATGGATTACACATTGTTATCTATTAGTTGATATCAAGGCTGCTCCCATAACCCTAGTCTATTACTCCTAGAGAGGAAATTTCTTTCTGTTCTGTTTGTAAGTCACTGAGCATGGAAGAAGTCACATCACACCTAATTCTATTTAGATCTGTAGGAATACACTGTTACTCTGTCCGATTTGTTTTTCTACATCATACCACAGTACAAAATCCTGACCCCTTTCTTTTCCTGAACACACACACACACACGTGTGCGTTCATTTAGCAAATATTTGTTTTAATCTCTCAAACCCTTAATTGAAAACTTAGACTATGATCTTTTAACAATTTATGTATTTTTATTTTATGTGCATTGATGCTTTTCCTGAAAGTATTTCTGTATAAGGATGTCAGATACCGTGGAACTGGAGCTACAGATAGTTTGAGCAACCATGTAGGTCTTGGGGATTGAACTCAGGTCCTCTGGAAGGACAACTGGTGCTCTTAACTGCTGAGCCACCTTCTCCAGCCTCCGATCTTTTATACTATTTATTTATAACTGCTGTCTGAGTGTTGTGTTATAGCATGTCACTGGACCATGTCCTTGCAATGTCCTAGCTTAATGTGGACCCCATAAGAACAGGGTAGGTAGTTGGGGGATCAAGTAATAATATATGATGAACAGCAAACTGTACTGACTTCTGCAATTGGGAGTACAAAGAGTACAGTTTCAATCTTGATTGTAGCAGTATTTGTTTTATGATAGTGAAATAAAAGTAATCATTATATATGATTGCTTAAGTAGCGTTTAACAAATTTATAGGGACCTTTTATAACCATTTCTCTTTTGGGTGATTTTATTTATTTTTAGGTCTAAATATTTCCATCTCTTTTTGTGTACTACATGTGTACAGTGCCTACAGAGGCCAGAAGATGATGTCAGGTCCCCTGGAACTGGAGTTACAAATGGCTGTGGGTTTCCCTGATGGTTCTGGGAATTAAAACTGGGTCTTCTGGAAGAGCAGCCATTGCTCTTCGTCTTGAGCCCTTTCTCCAGCCACAGTAACCACCTATTATCCACCCTGAAACACTTTTTTTATCACCCCTAAGGAAACTTTTAAAGTTAAGTACTCACTCCTCTTCCTATTATTCTGTCAGTCTTTGCAACGTTTTGTTTGTCATACAGATTTATCCACTCTGGCAACCGTTTGTGCCTACACTGTTTTATTTATTTTCCATAACCATTCATATCAAGACATGAATCAACGCTTATTTCTTATTGTGGCAGAATAAAATCCCCTTATACTACTGAATTTGTTTATCCCATGCATGTGATAAACTATCCATTTGTTTTCGCCTTCTAGTTCTTGTGAACTGTGCTGCTATGAACAGTGATGTGTGAACGAGTATTCAGCATCTGTTTTTAATACGATCGGGGTCCATTTCGAGGAGTGAAATTGTTACATCCTGATATCCTATTTGAGGAATAGAAAACTACTCTCCACAGCAGCTTCAACCTTTCATATCCCTCTTAGTTATACACTTAGTTATAAGTTGAAACAAAAGTTTCAACTTAGCCACAGCATGATTGCGTCTTCTCTTTTTTTATGACGGCCATTTAAATGACTATAAAGTGATTTCTCTGTGTAGTTTTTTTTGGGGGGGGGAAGAAAAGGTTTATTCAGCTTACACTTTCATAGCATTTTTTTTTGTCATCAAAGGGACAGGAATGCAGGAACTGACACAGAGGCCATGGGAGGGTGCTTCTTACTGACTTACTTCTCATGACTCGCTCATCTTGCTTTATTATAGAACCCAGGACCATAATCCCAGGGATAGCAACACCCACAATGGGTTGGGCTGCTTCCTCCTGATCACTAATTGACAAAATGCCTTACAGCTGGGTCTCATGAAGGCATTTCCTCAACTTAGGCTCCTTCCTCTCTGAAAGGCATCAAGCTTGTATCAAAATGACACCAGCCAGTACATCAGCTAAATCAATGGAAACCAAGTTATAATCTATTGAACCACAGAAGTTAGGTATAAAGTAAAGGAATAAGGGAAACCAATAGATCATCCTAGGAAAGGGGAAAAGGATACATATGAATAGTGGGCTATGCTGTTATTAGCCATTCTGATCGTGGGTGTTGTGGGTCTTTCTCTGGGTTGCAGTTAATCATCTCTTCTGCTGTCCTTGAGAGTCCTGATCTAAAATCATCAGTGAAATGAGGTGAAGGTGAGCATTAGGAGTTAGATATCTTTTAAGTGGGGTAAAACCAGAATAGCATCTTAGAAAGGTAGTAATTCCATGTTCTTGGAGATCTCTGAATATCTGAAATGGGATGTTCTTTGCCTGGACCCTAAATTATGAGCAAATGCCTACTCTAAATTATGAGCAAAGGCACAAATCTGTGCTGGCCTAGGAGAGGGGAACAAGGCCTGACAGTATGAGACTGTTCTGAACTGTGGGAACTAATTCCCAAATATGTAACAGAAAGGAAGTTCAGCTCTGTGTAGTTTTTTATCTTAGTTATATCATAACTAATGATATTAAAACCTTTTAATGTGTTTGTTGGCCACCATCTTCTTTGAAGAAATATCTCTTGAAGAACTTTGCCCACTTTTAAGCTGGGTTATATATTTGTATATACCAGTCAGATATTTAATTCACAAGTGTTTTCTTTCATTATCCTGGCTGGGTCTGCTCCACCTCTACTTCCTGTCTGGTTTTCCCACCTATACTTCCTACCTGGCCAATCAGCGTTCATTTAAAACGTGATTGACAGAATACAGACAATTATCCCGCACCACTTCCCCCTCTTTTTTTTTTTGGCCCCTCATGTTACAGTATTGTTTGAGTTATTTTGAAGTTTTCAATGTTTTTATATAACAAAATAAAATATAAGACAAAACAAAGAAACAATGCACAAAGTTGGACAATACAAGTCAGCAGAAGGAAAAGAGCCTTAAGAAAAGGCACAAAAATCAGAGACCCATTTGTTCATTCACTCAGGAGTCCCATAAAAATACCAGACTGAAAGTTCTAATAAATGTACAGAGGACCTGATACAGATCCCAAGTCCTGTGCTTGTTGCTTCAATCTCTGTGAGTTTGTTAAGAGTGTTGCTCAGTTGATTTAGAGGGTCTTGTCCTCGTGATGTTCTCCATCCTCTCTGATTCTTACATTTCTGCCTCTTCTTTTACAGGGTTTCCTGGGCTCTGAGGGGAGGAATTTGATGGAAGCATCCCATTTCTCCCCACTCCCTTCTTACTCTCTCTTTTTGCATAATGTCTGACTGTGAGTCTCTGTATTTGTTCGCATCTGCTGCAGAAGGAAGCTTTGCTAATGATGGCTGAATAAGGCACTGAATTATGAGTATAGCACGTCATTAGGAGTCTTTTTTTGTTACTAAAACACCCCAAAATATAGCATTTTCTTCTATCCTAAGTCTCTGGACTATCTAGTTCTTGATCATGCAAACAGGGCCGGGTATGGGTTCCTTTTCATGGAGTAGGCCTTAAGTCAAACTGGACACTAATTGGTTACTCCCCTAAATCTTGTACCATCAGTGCCCTAGTTTGTTTTTCAGGCAGGAAAATTTGTTGATCAGAGGTTTTGTGGTTGGATTGGTGTTTATGTGTCTCTTCTCCTAACCTGCAGAGTCTTTCTCCAGTCCAGAGCCCTAGAAGATGGGAGTGAAGGTTCTTTGTAGGCACCACCTAGACAATTCCATGTTCAAGGAGCTGTGTGGATGTTGTCCTTAGCAATGAGGTTTTGCTATCAATTTACTGAGAGCAACCTATCATCGTGGCAATCTCCTGGGTTGTTTGGGGATTTCCATGAGACCCCTGTGGTCAACAAAGCAATTGGATATAATTCGTTCCTGCGACTAGAATTTTGGTTTGGTTACAAGCAATGTCCAGATGGGTCTGTATTTCTAATTGTTTTGAGACATCATTAGGATTGCCTTTATATATTTTAGAAAATGTTCACTGCACGAGGTTTTCATACCAACTCTCAAATGCCCAGCTTTTAATTCCCACTTTAATGTCATTAGTTTGTATGTCTGTCCTTATGCCAATATTAAGGTCTTGATAATTTGTACTAAGTTTTAAATGTGATGTAGGAATCATTCAGCCTTTTCTTTTTAGGCAAATGTTGGCTGTTCAGGGGCCCTTATAATGCTGCATGGATTTCAGGATGAGATTTTCCATTTTTAACAAAAGGCCACTTAAAATTTTATTAAGTACTGTGTAAGCTCAGGATTTGATTGAGAAATATTGTCTTTGTAACATTGTTAAAATTCCCATTTTGTGAGCATGGATATATTCTAGATATATTTCTTACATATGCCTTTTTATTTTCAGACCTTCTTTTAAAAACTAGCAATATTTGTCATTTTCAAAGTAAAATATTGATTCACATACTTGGTTAAATCTATTCAGATGTGGTTTACATTTTGGATTATAAATAGAATTGTTTTTTAAACTTTCTTTTCATATGGTTTATTTTTAGTAAATAACAGGAACAAAAGATTTTCATACACTCATTTTCTATCATGCAATTTTACTGTTATCTAAACAGAATTGGGTAGATGTATTAGTTTAATATAAAAAGTCACGAAGTCACTGTGCAGGGGACAGGATTATTTCTTCTTTGGCTGTGTAACTATCTTTTATTTCGTTTTGTTTATTTTCTCTGGGTAAAACCTGGAGAGTGATATCAATAGCAGGAGTGAAAGCAAGCATCTTTGTCTTGGTCTTCCTTTCAGAGGGACTTCCCCCATTGAATGTGATATTAGCTGTGGGTGTTTCCTAAGCATCTTTCACTAGTGACAGTTTAAATTTTCAGATTGTCAGTTTCCTTATTTGTCCTTCACCCCTTTTCTTCCCTGATGGATTCATGCCTTGATCTTTTCCAATGTCTATATGAGCTTTAGCTCCTTCAATGTTGCAGCTCTAAACAACAACCTCCAGAGTGTGCAATCTCTTCCTTGATGCTTTAATGCTTATTACAGGAACAGATCTTTTTCAAAGCTTCTCTTTGAGATACTTTCTAATCTCATATGTTTTATTATTACTTATTTTATCTATAAACTTCTCTAGTCATTTATTTTTGTGAAAGTACCTTCTACTGAATCTTGAGGTATGTTTTCCTGACTGGATTCAGTCTAGATCACATGGAGTTAAGGATGCCTGTTACTGTTATGTCTCTGAGATAACAGGCCATCCATTGGCAGCCAGCTAATTCACCGTATCTTCAGGGAAATCATCCAAGTCCTGGCCACCATTTCATCTTGTTTACATGTTGATAAAGATGTTCTAAAAGTTGGATGTCTGAGTTTGCTGAAGTAACAGGGACTTCTTATGAATTGTAAAAAATCCCACTGTAAACTCTGATGCCACAGTTGACAAATTCATTGGTTCAATGATTATAAATTTAAGTTTATTTCATCCTCTAACAATTGTCTTCAAACTGGTTTTCTAGATAGCTACCTAGGGTAGTGTAGTGACCACAAAGCATTTTTTCTTGTTCACGTTCAGGGAGGGGAGGAAAGAGAAAACCTTTCTCTGGCATAGAATGTAAATAATCTCCTCATTCTAATTGGGTCAGCTCAGGCTTTGGCTCAGATCAACCAAGTAGAACAAGTTAGATCCATCATCTTGGATATAGAGAAAGGAGTGGACACTCAAACAAAGTCAAATTTCCCAAGGACCATGAAAAGGAAAGCGGGTCGCATTTAGTAATCCTTTTATTAATTCAGAGCAATCACCCAGAATCTTTAAGAGCAAACAAAACTTTCCCCCTTCTATCTATAAACTATTACCTCCCACCATTTCTTGTATCCATTTTTCCTCTACTGTCCACAGCTACAGCAATGCTGAAAATCCCAGCTCCTGGCTTGGTGCTCTTATAGCTGCATGAGTTGCTATTCCTGCACCTGAACTCGGTGTTCACATGATTAGCGCTCCTGCTTATACAGGTTTCAATACACAGGTGAGCAGGTCTTTTCCCAATCACCACCCCTAAAGGAGGCTTCTCTGCTGGGCTGTGAATTCAGCAGATACTCAGACTTCTGAACACCCCATGAACTTCTTTCAGCATAACACGGAAGGCATTTTGCAAATAAGTATTTATTTTTATGTTTTTTTCAACAGCTTTCTACCTTAGGAATAAATACCTTAGATCATAACGTGCTTCTCTGTTATATACTCTATTACAGGTATATGTTACATATACCTCTCGGGCATATGATCACCCCATCCATGCTCTGTACTTGCGCCATTTCCTGAACATAACCTATGTGACATACCTGTGGACATATCTTTATTTCCTTAAATTTTATATGAAATATTTTCAAAATTTGTTAAAACGAACCATTTGCTCCTTTGTCAAAAAAGCAAGTATAAGAATATTTATTGTTAAGATATAAGGTGAAATAATTTTGACTTTGTACTTCAAATGTGATTCAATACAAATCATTATCAGTGACTATCAACTACTCCACACGAGTAACTAGTGGGGGAATGTTTACAGAGAACATGAGAATGAGAACTGACCTCATTGTTAATGTATGCAATGCATCCTGGCCTTGCAATTGTAGCCAAGTGCATCAATGCTGAAAATCCCAGCTCCTGGCTTGGTGCTCTTATAGCTGCATGAGTTGCTCCTTCCTGCACCTGAACTCAGTGCTCACGTGAGTAGTTCTACTTCTACAGGTTTCATTACACAGGTGAGCAGGTCTTTTTTAATTAAAATTTTTTTATTTTTCATACCAACTCCAGATCCCCCTCCCTACCCTTCTCTCGCCCCCCAATTCCCCTCATCCCACCCCTATCCACTTATGAGAAGGGGTAACCTTGGGGAGTCAAAGTCTGGCATACCAAATTGAGGTAGGACCAGGGCCCATCCTGCTGCGTCAAGGCTGAGCAAGGTATCCTACAATAGGGAATGGGCTTCAAAAAGCTAGTTCATGCACCTGGAATAAATCCTGGTTCCACTGCCAGGGGCCCAACAAACAGATCAAATAACTGTCACCCACATTCAGAGGGCCTAGTTTGGTTCTTTGCAGGTTTCCCAGCAGTCAGTTCAGAGTCTGTTAGCTACCAATAGAATGAGTCAGCTGTCAGTCCAGAGTCCATGGCTCTCACAGTGTATAACTTTATGTGGTCAGTTCTGTCCTCCTGCCTTTATGTGGATTCTGAGGACCTAATTCAAGTCCTCAGGCCTGTGTAGCAAGGCTCTAAATTGGCTGAATCATCTTGCCACAATCCTGAATTGTTTTTTTTTTTAGAGAAGGAAGAGAGAAATAATGAATCTTAGAGATTAATTCCATATTGACGGTAGATCATAGTTACATAAGGTGCAGCCTCCTAGGCGACTTAGTGAAAAAAACCATCAGATACAAAGGCATATTTGTATGTCCTGGGCCACCATTCTTTTGTCGCTGGAAGTCCATTCTTTTGTTTGTATATGCTCAAGTCTAGCCAGGAGATGCAGTCAAGGAAGGCAACACCTGAGTGTCTGTCTGCTATGCAGGCTCCTCCCATTAACATCTAGTACTCACCTCCATTCACCTTCTCAGTGAGGAGTTCCTGGACCAGTCTATATCAAAAGAGCTCAACTCTCTTGCTTTGCTTCACTTTTCTTCAGGTACTTACCACCTACAACTTACTATATCTAGTGCGCCTTTAGTGTTGCCTCAGTCTCTTCCTAAGAAAGTAGCATGGGATTTTATTTTTAAGATATGGTTTTGTGTATTCTTGTTGCACAGAGCTGAGTCTGACATAGAGGACACACTCAAAGAGCTGTCAACTCAAAGAATCTTTCTTGAAAATTATTTCTTGAAAGTAAACTGATTATCTGCCAGAGAAGTACCTGAACTTTACCCATCTCTGTATGAGAGCAAGGCTGCTTTTGAAGTTAAAACTTTTCCTGTGCTCAAACTTCAGAGAAAAAGATGCAGTTGATAACATCTGAGAGGAAGGAAATGTCACTTCATGTTGAGTTGTGAATATAACATCATATGCGTTATTTTTTTTTATACAGGCTAGCTTCTGAACTGTTTCCAGAGATGGCTTGCATTACTTTGCTTTTGGCTATTCTTCATGTGCACAAAGGTAAAGAAAATCCTATGTCTTCATTTAAAAGTTTTGCTGTGCTTTTGGTGTTTGGGTGTGACATGTGCAGGTTCCCTTAGGTAATTTCTGATTTGTTCAGAAATACTAAAATTTACAAAAGCCAATTTTGTAGGTGAAATTTTCAGGGTTCACTATGAACTTATTAGACTATTTGTTAAGTCTTGTAAAATTTATATATTTGGTTTTGTCATCGTTGGATCTAACTCAGTTTATGTGATGTATTATTTTAGCACTGTGTGAAGTGACCTTTTGGGACACAGCTGTTCAACTCTCTAAGACCATGACTCTGGAATGTGTGTATCCATTGATGGACAACTTAACCCAGGTTGAATGGGCCAAGATCAGTGGCACAGAGACTGTGAACATAGCTGTTTACAACCCAAACCATCCTATGCATATAGATCACAACTACTTCCATAGAGTGCACTTTCTGAATGCAACATTGGAGTTCCGCAATATGAGTCTTTCCTTTTACAATGCCTCTGAAGCAGACACTGGCATCTACTCCTGCTTGTTTCACTCTTTCCCAGGAGGACCTTGGGAAAAGAAGATAAAGGTGGTCCAGTCAGGTAAGGAAAAACTTACTTTCCTTTTCTCTACTTAGAATGTTTAATTCTAAGAAATCCAACTAAAACGTTAAAGCACTATTCTGCTCTTCTTCCTGTTTCATTTCTACGTTCTTGATGGTATGGTTCCTCAGAGAGTAATGTTGTAAACCAATCCCATTTTTCTCAATTGCTGTCATTTCTGAGTGGAGGTGTCTTACTCATTTCAGAGATGTAGGAAGATGAGCAGATTTACATAATCTTTACGACGATATAAGGTTAGATTCAAGTGATGTTGCCAACTTGTAGATTAACAACCTGTCCCTTCTTTCAAAGTTTATCTTAGCAGTGTGAGATACCATTTCCTTTTGTTGAGCATTTGACAATAAATCTAAGCCCCTGGATAGCTAGAATCTTTCCCGCATGTTTCAATCTGAATTTATTAGCAAATTCTGAGCAAAGTTTAAGATAGAGTCCATCTTCAACCTATGTACTTCTTTTAGAAACTGATTGATGTATCAGAAAGAGAATAATGATTTATATTAAGTATACTGATGACTGTGCTTTGATTCTTCTCATATATTAGGTATGATAGATTAGATTCTTCTCATATATTAGGTACGATAGATTAGATTCTTCTCATAGATTAGGTACGATACATCAAGAACACCTGGGTTTTATAACCATCATTTTCTGTAAAATCCTGTGTTAGTGGTTTACTCTTGCTCAATTTAAAGTAATCAAACAACTTGTCAAGATAATAATAATTTCCTTGTTGAACATTTAGGGATAATATATTTAAATAACTTGGCCCATGGCCCTTGAAGAACAGGTTATTGTTACTATCACTATTATTGATATTTCTTCTATTTATTTATTTATTTATGACAGGGTTTTTCTGTTGTTTTGGAGCCTGTCCTGGAATTAGCTCTTGTAGATCAGGCTGGCCTCAAACTCACAGAGATCTGCCTGCCACTACATCCTGAGAGCTGGGATTAAAGGCATGCACTACCACTGCCTGGTGATATTTTCTATGTTTTGACACAAAATTATTCACAGACTTTTCAAATATCAGTAAAAAGGGAAAGATTTGAAATCATAGTTTCTTACACTTCAGGTCATTCCCATGTACACAAAAAAGGGAAAGTTTTGTGCCATCTGATGCCAAGCCTTTCTTTTCTCCAGTAATGAATATTCTGAAAGAACAATAGTCATGATGCAAGAGGAATAAGAAATGATCAGGAAGAAATGACACTTGGGTATAGCTAATCTTGACTAATTTATTATTAACAAAATATCTTTGAACACCTATATTAAAAGATTTATTTTACCTCTAAGGAACCTGTTTGTCACCATGCACAGATACCCATTTAAATGCTTTCTGCTACTTTTAAGTTTAACATCTACTTTGACCCATATTTCCAAAAAAAGGCTATAATGACGGGCCTTGAAATAGGGTGATGTATTTCACATGTGGCTTCAGCTGTCAGGCTGGAGGAAAGGAGTGCCCCTTCTTGGCTTGTGGTATCAGGGTTTGTAGTTTCTCTCGCACATCAGATATTTTGATATGTGTCATAGGAGAGAAGATATACATTGTATTAAGAGAAGGCATCTCTGAATGTCTAGCACAGAGTATGGAGCTAAACTGTCAAGCCATTGTTGATTTTTGGCTTCAGTTTTGGAAGAGTTTGGGAAGTTTTTTTCACATTGTATCACTCAGATTTGCTGTCCCCTTTACTTTTCTATGTCAGTAACAGGTGAGCCTCAGGGGCATTTGAAAACAAAATGGTGAAAGATTTATTGGTTGCCAGAGTAAGGGCTGTTGGGTTCTTTATTTTCTTATGTGTCCCTCATGGTGGAATCCTGAAAGATGTTTTGTGTTTTAAAAAGTAATGATTTTTATCTTTGAAGAACATATTGCTGTAATGGGATAGAGTATATGGTCTACATTATTTTGAGATTTGGAAGGGTAGAGTTTTTAATCATAATGGCAAAATTAAACCTATTTGTTATATTTTAAAATATACTTAAAATGCCTTAAAAATGTACTTAAAAATCTCCTTTTAAGGAGTTTCATTAGCACCGTAGGTAGTGTGTCACACTCATAAAAAGTTCCTTTTATACTTTATTCACAACTTAACAAGATTTATAAGTACTATATTTTAGAGTTGATCTGTTCAAAACTAAAAGAAGAGCAAACTTAAAAATACAGAAATTTTAATGTGCATAATAGATCATCAGAATTCTAATATAAAGAAGGATTTGATCTATTTAACATTAAAAGAAAAGAAACTTTAAAGATCAGAGATCCTAATGGGCATGACACTGACAGAATTTCATGGGAAGCAGTGACACCACACGCTCATCATTATTACTGACTTCTATTCTTCACTAGTAATTCTTTATGGCTGAGGGATCTTCTTTCAGTGCCTTAGACAGATTTCCTAATTCTTCCCTATGGTACACTTGGACATGGACATTGCCTTCAGGATATCCCCACGTGGGGTTGCCATGCACTGTAAAGTCTTCTGGCCTTTCCAAGACCTCCAACACTGTATGCGTCTCATGCTGTAGCACCATAGTTGAATGTTAAGTAATATCTGGGGAGACACGAGACTCTAGGCCTTACAAGGGTGAGATGTGACCATTGTATATGTATCTAAAAAAACTTCTTTGTGCTTTATACCTTCTTTTTTTCCATAGTTTTTTAGTCTAGCATTGAGCTAGTTAGAGACCTTATTCTGGATAAGTGATGCTGTTGGTAGAAAGGACTTTAAATATGTTGGTTAGCTTTAAAATAGGCATTTCCTAATTGCTGATCAAATTAAATAGATAAAATTGGCTGTGCTATTTTCACAATTCATGATATATTAAGGTGACTTAGGTGGTGATGTTTCAAAATCACTCTTGGTAGTAAAGTCTATGGTGGAAGTCTTGGAGAACAGATTGTTTACTTTGTATCTGTGGTCTTAGTAATCAGTGAAATACAATATATTATATTTAAATATCCCCTACCTGCTAGATGGTGACCCACTCCAATATCCTGCCCAACTTTTACTAGTTACCCACTTTGTATGAACCAATCAAATGTCTCTGTAGTACATCTGAATACTTGACCACACAGAAAAACCATTTTCCGGTACCCAACTAAAGGAGGGAGGAGAGAGAGGAACCATAATACCTGTTTTGGAATATAATTAGCTGGTTAAACAACCACATATTCTATGATATAATAATTCTGCCCTCTTTGATATTTACTGATTATGTTCATGTGTTAGAAAACCCATATTTATAGCAACAATGATGATAGAAATGATATCTGGGAACCATCCAGAAGTTCAAGAGTAGAATAGGCAAATACACAGGGTTCATACATGCAGGAGGAAACTGTGTTCCTGAGAAGGGAGAAATCAACATGATGCTCATCAACAGATTGAATCTCACTAAGATCACACTGGGGGAAGTAAGCAAACCATAGATGACTTTGGGTGTGGTTCCTGCTCTTGACATTGCATCGACATGCAAAACAGAGCAAAACATGGTTGACTTGCATATAAACAATAACAAAGAAATAAGGCTAAAATAAACAAGAAATTTGAAAGCATGATCACAAGAATACAGAATCAGGAGTGTCCACCAGAATCTTTAATGTTCATCATCGCAGTGATGCTTATATAGATTTCTTATTTCTTATTTCTCAAAACTGTGTTATAAAATTTCTTTCAAACATGCTGAATTTCCAGGAAAATGGTGAAAAATATTTCATTGCAATATTTGAACAGTTCAAATATATCTGTTTAAGGTAAGTATGAAAGTTCCACTCTTATTTGGCCTGAAGGCTAGAGAGAAGGGAGCTTCAAGAATATACCCAGTTATCTTATGATCTAAGAACTAGAAAATATTGACTTTACTTAAAAAAAGACAGAATTAGGAGACCAGATTGGATTTGTAAGAAAGAGAGCAGTTCTCATGCCCTTAGTTATAACATAGTGTCTGAGCACCTACCTCTGAACTTTGTGGAACAATGGAGCAGAAAGGCTTTTGAGGATTGAATATCCCAGCTTTGATATTATTTCATCATCCAGCATATGTAAAAAAAGACAGTAAACAGAGTACCAACTAATAGGAGCAGAAGACTTAAGAACATAGCCTGGAGAAGGGTCAAACTGAAGTATATGAAGGAAGACATGAATGTACACACATGGAAGTCATAGGGAAAGGAGGGAGAGAGACAGGGGTGTGGAGAGAAGGATGAAGTGCAAAAGATGGATCACTGGCATTGGAGAAGCAGGCAGTGAGTTACCTTCCTTGCTCCACCTGCATAAATGCTTTGGTTGGTTGTATCACATGGCTGTGATGTTCATATTTCAGTGCACTTATCTCAGATTGAACACTGAGTTGCTTCTCACCGTGTCCCTCTAAAGAGTTCCATTCGTTTTGGGTGGGACAAGGATGTACATGTCTTCCTCACCCCCTTTCATAGTCTTTTACCCTTACTCTTTCTCAGATGCCAGCAGCTAAATGGTTCATGTGTGTGTGTTGGTAGTAATAGTGCCTTAGAGATTGGGGCCTCCAGAGTTGGTAAAATATCTTCTAAAGATAATGCTGACCTCTGTAGCAAGTGGGGACAGCATGGGGATTTTTTCCCCTTAGTGTTGGTGTGATGTGAGGATTCAAAGGTGGAAAGGGGAGAATATCCTAGATCCAGTTTCCATAAATAGGTTTGCTGATATGAGAAAGTGAACTTATCCATTAACTCATACTCCAAGTCTTTACTAAGAACCTAAAATATTCTAGATAATGTTCAGTGATTTGCAAGGTAGAAAACTTTAGCTCTGAATATAGTTTATCTTGGTGTGTAATTCAGAGTTTGTCTTATTTCATTAGGTGGACTTTCAGCTGTCTTTGTAGTCCTTCTTAATATATTATCACACTTTTATACCAGCGTTTATTTTGTTTATCCAGAATTAACAAAGAAGGAAAAATCCCTAAAAATGACTCTCCCTTGTGTAGTACTAACAGGT